CCTTGGAAGCAAGAATGGCCAGACTTCATCTCACCTATTTTGGTCATGTTGTAAGAAGGGACCATTCCCTGGAGAAGGATGTCATGCTTGGTAGGTTGGAGGGTCAACGAAAGAGGGGGAGGCCTTCAAGGAGATGGATTGATACGGTGGTTGCGATGATGGGCTCAAGTATAGCAGGGATTGTGGGGCTGACGCGGGATTGGGCAGTGTTTCATTCTGTTGTGCATGGGGTCGCTATGAGTCGGAAACGACTCGACTGCACTTAACAACAACAAACAACAACCAGAGTAACACTAGGGAAAAGGAGGACACGGAGAGGTACTGAGAAAGTATAGATAACAGACATACCCAATACTATGTTATCAGTAATAACAAACACTAGTTTTGGATGGATACATAGGTAGACAGGTGAGAAGATTAGGTGTGGGTAGGTGAATGGGAATATATTCATGACCATACATAAGTTTGATGATATTCCTATATATGTATTTGTATGTGCTACAAAAATATCCATATATATTATAGAGCTAATAGAAAACAAGGTTGGGATAGCTTCTGTGCCACAACCAAGCATATTGAGGAAGTGAGTCACTAGCCTGTGGCCTTAGGACCATAGTCTTCAGGACATTGAGGTCAAAATAATACACAAAAATGTTGTTCTACATCCTACTTTGGTGAGTAGTGACTGGGGTCCTAAAAGCTTACAAGCAGCCATCTAAGATACAACTATTGGTCTTTCCTCACCTGGAGCAAAGAAGAGCAAAGAAAATCAAGGATTTATGGAAATAATTAGACCACAGGACTAAGGGACCACGAGAACCTCAGCCTACATGACCCTGAGACCAGAAGAACTACATGGTGCCTGGCTACCAACACCTTGGAAAGGAATAGAAATTGGAGATCCTGGATAGAGTGGAAGAAAAAAATGTGGAACAAATTCAAAAACAGAAAAACGACTAGAATTACTGGTTGGATAGAGACTGGTGAAACCCCCAAGACTCTGTCACTGGGTTACCTTTCAGCCTGGGACTCACTCCCATGGCTTAGCTCTCAGTCAAACAATAGACAGGCTACTAGCTGAACAGCTAGCTACCCCAGGGAGATGCATTCCTTAGAACAGTCAACCATGAGAGATCAGAAGGGCAGCTTTTTCTTAAGGGGGAAAACTAGACAGACAGGAATGCATAGGTAAGAAGGACACAGGGAAGGGGAGTAGGTGGAGGAGAGCTGTTCCATTGTGGGGATTATAATTGGTGGCATGAAACAAAGTGTATATGAACTGTTCAGTATAAAATGAATCCACACCCAAATCACAATAAAAAATTTTTTAAAAATCAATTGACCATAGATGTGTGGGTTTATTTCTGGACTCCCAATTCTATTTCATTTGTCTGTGTGTCTATTGTTATACCAATGGCAGGTTATTTTGATTCCTGTAGCTGTAGAGTATGCTTTAAAATCAGGAAGTGTGACCCTTACCACTTTGTTCTTCTCTTTCAACATTGTTTTAGGTATTCAGGGCCTCTTGCCTTTCCATCCTCAACAAATTGAGAATTTTTTTTTTTTTTTTTTTGTGATTTGGGTGAAGATTTACAGAGCAAATTCACTTTCCATACAGCAGTTCACATATACTTTGTCTCATGTCATTGACCACAGT